CTCTCTCTCTCTCTCTCTCTCTCTTACACACACACACACACACACACACACACATTTTAGAGGTCTTACAGGTCAGAATGACTCAATCAAGGCCTTTACAATTACACTACTGTTGCTTAATGTTAACTGTCTCTCCATCATTCACAAACGGCTGTCACGTTTCACCCTCTAGTGGCAGTGGAAAGTAACTTTCAAATCAGTCATTAAGCAGCCAGCTAACAGATTTTTGTTATAAGAACATTCTCCAAATATTCAGTGTTGGTTCTGGGAACGTAAAAAACGCCCAGTTTTCTTGACATCAGAGGAACATGTTCTAAAAGGTCTGATGTTCCCCAAACGTTCTTTCAACTTATTTTTGATTTAAAATTCAACATTCTAGGAACGTTGATTTGTAACATTCCAAGAACATGAAAATGTCCCGTTTCCTTAACGTTAATAGAATGTTATTTAAAGGCTAGTTTGATGTTCCTGAAACATTCTTTCAAACATTCAACCAGCGGCTGTGAACTAGCACTGAAAGAAAATGTAATAAGCACAAACTACAACTGACTTCAGCCACAGCCTTAGATGAAATCAACTGAAATAAAAGACATTAAATCTCTCAAGATCTCAGCATTGTACATCACTATAAAGTTGCTCTATATTCATAATCCAAATACTGGACAGCTGATTAAGAAAGAGCAACCTCTGCTGGAAACGTAATGAGCTGAGGGAAAGAAAAATCAGCGTTAAAAGTGAATAACATTAATTTATTAGTGTCTTTAATACACAGCACTTAACTCATAGTGGATTAAATGATTAACCTGGTTCTCCTTTACTAGAACAAGCTGGATAGCATACTCATGAGCAGTGATTAACAGTTAAGCTGGTACTTGTTCTTCAATCACTTTTCTGAGTGGAGGAAATAACAGCATCGGATAATTCAGCATTGATGTATATCGAGTCTGTAGCAATCCTCTCAGACAGACGGTGTCAGTGAGTTTTAATTGGCTATACGGCTTCCTGTGGGTGGTGCTCCTGAGATCCGAACAGGAAGTGAGGCGCCAGCCCCAGTGCATTGTGGGACTGTCGGTGAGACAGGCACGTGGAGGAGCTCGGTTACAATCAGTGCCGGATCTCATCGCGCGAGATCCATCGATTGAAGGCAACAGAAAGGAAACGAGGAGGGAGATGTTTGAGGAACGAGGGAAGGACGGTGAGTTTGTTCCTGGTGGAGACTCATTAGTTCTGTTGTGTTCCTGAAATTTCCCTCCGTTTATCCAGCGTAGGGTGTTTTTGACTGAAATGTTGACATTTAACCCCTCCCTAAGTTCATTAGCAGCATGCTGCTCCTGTGCAGCAGAAGAGCGAAGCTTCGAGCCAACGTCATAAAGTCAACATGAAACGACGATCACAACCCATAATGTGACGTAATTTTGGATATTCAGCTGGGATTTTATCCATCAGGAGTTGAGTATATGGTGAAAAGTGGACATTGCATACCAGAATGGCTATTATTGCTGTCATTTGCATTTTATTAACCAGCATTAAGTTACTACATTTACTATTTGCGTAAAAAACTACCTACATGAGTAGCCTTAAAAATGCCCAGGTAACTATATGGTTATTATTTATTAATTATATTATTTTTCTCCCAGGGGCCCGTAAGAGAGTTTTGGAAAAGATTGCTAATGTTTACAGAAAACAGTGTAAATACTAAAAATAAAATTACGAGTAAACAAATAAATTTTATTAAAATAAAAATTATTTTGAATACATAAATAAATAAATAATACCAATTAAGATTATTTTAAAAAATCGATTAAGATTATTTTAAGATTATTTTTCTCCCACGGAGCCACAAGAGAGTTAAGGGAGTTTTAGGGGATCCATGAACAAATGTTTACAGAAAAACAGTTTAAATACTGTAAAAATAAATGATACATTTTATTAAAATATGTTAAAAATGATTTTGAATAAATAAATAAATACATAAATAAACCAAGAATATTTAACTAAAGTACTATAGTAACTAGAAAAAAAAAACATAACTAAAACATTTCCAAATAATATTTTACACATTTATAATATTAATTTTTCACAGTATAAACTGGGTCTTTAAACATGAAAATATAAATACATAAATAAACCAAGAATATTTAACTAAAGTACTATAGTAACTAGAAAAAAAAAAACATAACTAAAACATTTCCAAATAATATTTGACACATTTATAATATTAATTTTTCACAGTATAAACTGGGTCTTTAAACATGAAAATATATATATATGTATTTTAAATTTTATAATGGGGTTCTCTCGCATGATCATCATATTTCTGGGGGTCCGTGGCTTCTAAAAGATTGAAAACCCCTGATTATGTGACCCAATTGAAATGTCTTTTTATGGTCAGAGCATGTTATGGTATTTTGATTATCACCAATAGTAACATGCATTGATGACGAAGTCTGTAAACGGGACGTTAACAAAGGCCAGAGACGCTGAAGATGAACACAAAGAGGGGAAAATACTGTAGCAGACAGAGCAGCTCACTTGTTCACCATGAGCAAAGTATTGGACGAAAATCTAAATACTGAATTGGGGGTGGGGCTTTATATAAATGTATCTCTGAGGGGAACTTATTGTCTTCAGAAAAGTTTAGATGTTGTCTCTGTATAATGCATACTGAAGTAGTGTTTATAAGCGCTGCGGTAACCAAGAGGCTACAGAGTTTGGCCTGTAATAGAGCAAAGAACTTCTTGTTCATGTAGTCATATTTTCATTCTATCTTATCTCTTGCTTTAAAAAATGAAATAAACATTAACAAATCAGTATCGGAATCGGCCTGTTTGAAATTGACCATGAAAAATCAAGATTGGTGCATCACTACTGACTTTTGACAGTGTGGACACTGTTGTGATTCCCATCTTTCTATCCAGTGGTGAACTTTAAGAGAAGTATGTTGAATGATGCTGTTAAGTGTTGTGATGAATGTTTGTAGTAAAGTGGAAAGCATCTTTGCTAACAGTAATTCAGTAACTTGTTGACTAATACATTTGATTATTGTCAAAAGTAGGCTATTAGAACTTTTGTACCAAGTCGATACTGGGATTTAAAAAATGTAAGAATACCGGCCTTTCTGCAGCAGTGGTACCAAGTACAGATTCAGTTCAGTACTTGCTGATAGGCGGCTGCTTTCAAACGCTTCTGTGCATATTTATATTGCTTTCCGTGAACAGTGATATGCAATGGCCAATCGGAGGTGTTTAAGTTAGTCAGAATCCACTCATTTTTCACTTGACCCTTTTAAAGCAATACTGATTAATGATTCTGAAATAGTTAAATAAAATAGTTAAATACTTTCAATATTTTTTTTGCTATGGTACTGAAAATCATTTGTTGTAATGTATAATTAAGAGCTCATATTAAAAAGCTGATTTTATAGTTATGTCATGACCATAAACTGTATGTTTTTTAAAGACTTTTGGAGAGAGGAATATGTTACTTTAGGGTGTGTTCCTTGTAGTTAATTCCCATTTCTAATTACATAAAAAATGTCCTGGAAAAGTCCTCCAAGTCCTGGAAAATGATCACTGAAAAAGAGTGGGAACCCTATAAGTGCACAATAAGATCAGGATTGTGTGTTAGGAAAGTAAAAGGAGTCCATTTTGATTTCATGTTGACTTTAAGCTCGATATAAATGTGATAATCCAGGCTGAGCGATTATCACGCAGAATACAGACGAACGCATGTAAATTAATAAAGCCAGCCAGCATTAAATGTGTACCGTCTTATTGGAAAAGTACTTTCGTTAAAAACCAACCGCTTAAGTTTAAATAGTTCTTTAAACTTCAGATCAGCACTTCAGTCTGTTCACACTGAAACTGAATCAGTGTAATCCAGTTCCAGTCTCCGCTTCCCATTCTTTAGGCTTTAGATCAGATCTTCAGTCCGTTCACACTGAAACTGAATCACTGTAATCCAGTTCCAGTCTCCGTTTCCCATTATTTAGGCTTTAGATCAGATCTTCAGTCCGTTCACACTGAAACCAAATCACTGTAATCCAGTTCCAGTCTCTGTTTCCCATTATTTAGGCTTCAGATCAGCTCTTTTGTCTGTTCACACTGAAACTGAATCACTGTAATCCAGTTCCAGTCTCCGTTTCCCATTCTTTATGATTTAGATCAGCTCTTCAGTCCGTTCACACTGAAACCAAATTACTGTAATCCAGTCCCAGTCTCCGTTTCCCATTATTTAGGCTGCAGATCAGCTCTTTTGTCCGTTCACACTGAAACCAAATCACTGTAATCCAGTTCCAGTCTGTTTCCCATTCTTTAGGCTTTAGATCAGCTCTTCAGTCCGTTCACACTGAAACCAAATCACTGTAATCTAGTTCCAGTCTGTTTCCCATTCTTTAGGCTTTAGATCAGCTCTTCAGTCCATTCACACTGAAACCGAATCGCCGTAATCTGGTTTCAGTATCCGTTTCCCACGTGTAAATGCGGTTCCTCAGAGGAAGGGGTTGTGGCTTTGGCCGGGGTGTTGTGTTTGTTGGGTGGAGGCTGTGAGGGGCAGCAGCGGCTGCGGCAGGTTGCTGGGTATGTCCAGCAGGCCGTGGTGCGGCTGCGTGTAGGAAGAGGGCAGAGTCTGGGGCCTCTGCTGCAGGACGGGCAGCGGGAGGGAGGCGCTGTAGGACAGAGCGTGAGCCGGCAGCGGCGACGTGGAGTGAGGACGCATCTGATTCAGAGTCAGTCTGGGCTGCTCACAGTGAAAGGGGTTTGTGGGAGACGGTGTGCTCAAACCTGCACGAGACACCCAACGCAAAATATCATTATAGTCTCTTCTGCTCACCAAGGCAGCATTAATTTGATCAAAAATACAGTACAATCAGTAAAATTGTGAAATATTATTACAATTAAAATTTTTCTATGTGCATATATTTTAAAGTGTAATTTGTTGCTGTGATCAAAGCTGAATTTTCAGCATCATTGCTCCAGTCTTCAGTGTCACATGATCTTCAGAAATCATAATAATATGCTGATTTGCTGCTCAAGAAACATTTCTGATTATTATCAATGTTGAAAACAGTTCCTGAATATTTTTGTGGAAACCGTGAGACATTTTATTTTCCAGGATTCTTTGATGAATAGAAATTCAAAAGAACAGCATTTATTTGAAGCAAAAATCTTTTGATCAATTTAATGCAGCCTTGATCAATAAAAGTATTAATTTCTCTCAAAGAAATCTTACTGAACCCCAAACATCATGAGAAGGAAAATTGCATGAAATACTATGACTTTTCAGAGAATATCTTAATAATAAAGTTCATTTCTTCTTTCCCACTTTTAAACATACATCTAAATAAATGAAAAATAATAAATATAATTATAAAAATAACAGAATAAATAACTAATAATTTTGTTAGAATGCACCAAGAGATTGTAACACTCTAAAGAGAAAGGAAAAAATGAAATCGCATCATATGACCCCTTTAAAACAAGGAAACAGCTTCATTTTTTAATTTTCAAAAGTGAAATATTTTTCTTTACGCTGATGAAACAGAAGATATTTTATCAGTTAAAGCAACTTTATAAAACAACTTTTTATTACTATTTACTGAAAAGATTACTTTATTAACTGTAAGAAAACAAATGAATCAAATACAATATGATGTTGTAAGATGGACAAATAAGATGCACAAAAAGCCTTTTAATAAAAATAAAAAGAAGAATTTAAACCAAGATGACCGTTGAATCATGCTCTTTGTACTTTCTAAATGAAAGATCAAAATTAAATTCCAAAGTTCTGAACAAAATTGTAAGGAATAAATAAAGGAGTATGTAAAGTATTTTGCATTGTAAATGTAATTGCATAACATTATTTGGCTTTATATAAAGTACTCAAAACCACTCAAAAAACTTCAAAAGCACTCAATAAAACAATAAATTCCCCAAAACAATAAGTGCGTGTGAGTGTGAATGTGTTCCTACCTGACAGGAAGGGGTTTTTGTTCTTGACCGGCGCATTGCTGGGAATAAGCGTGTCCAGGTTGACAAGGGAGGCAGCGGTGGGGCCGAGGAATGCCTTGGGGGTCCGGCACTGTCTGGGGGTCACCGCGTCCAGAGGGGGCCCGAGGCGAGAGAGGTCAAAGGTCTCTGGACTGTCATTTCCCCGTCCGTTCACTTGAACACCAGCCACCAACTCACCAAACTGATCGGCATCTGAAATGATAGATGAGAATGAGCTGCAGCTCGACTTCGAGAGGAAAACTAATGAGAAGAGGGTCTGGTTTGGTGTGATGAGGACCTGCAGGACTCTCACAGCGAGGACTGAACACTTGGTTTGGCCCCGCCTGCTCCACTATAGGCTCCTCCCCTTCTACTCTAAGCCCCTCCTCCTCTGGAATACTAAACGGGTCCTTCACACTCGACACTGGAAGGAAGAGCAAAGAATACAGGGATGGATCTCATGAGCCACCATCATTTACATATTTAAAGTGAATACAAGCATTAAAACTCCAAGTTCTATCTCACGATCTTTTTTTCATGCAGTTGCGAGTTTACATCTCACAAATAATAGCTGCAAGATATAAACCGGCTATTACACGATAAAAAGTTGCCTTTCTAATATTTTTATTCTGTGGCAGAAATAAGTTTTCATAGATTACGCTTCTGAGGCAGGAAAAGCCTTTTTTTGCACTTTATGCAAACTCTAAACGAATGCATTATTTCAATTAAAAGGGTTGGCGCTACAAAAACTTGGTCAAAAATGTATTTCACTTTGGTTTTTAACATGAGGTGTTGTACCTGGTCGTGCTGGGCTCCTCCAGGCTTCATCATCCATATTAGAGATGGAGTTTGAAGGCGGGGCATCCCAGGGTTCAGGAGGTGATTGGTGGGTTCCCCACGGGTGGGCGGGGCTACTGGAGGAAGGGCGGGCGGTCCAGGGACTATCAGCCCCCGGGTTACTAGACTTAACTACAGCTGAAACAGACACGACCAGATCTAAATACAGCCGCACAAAAAAGTCCTTGGAATATTTTGGTATTACTGTTGAGTTACAAATCCTCAAATCGTGTGAATATCGTTTGAATTGCATAGATTCCGATTCCGTTTATCGATTCCTAGTTTAGATTCCAATGAGGTATTAAAAAAAAGTCAAACATTTAGATGTCAAGCATATGTTTTCTGTCATTGTGCGCGACACACAAAACAGTGCACAAGGTCTTTCTCTTTTGCGCTTAAATGGTTTAAACTCACATTAGAATGCGAACGCAGGAATCGTTAAGCGGAATCAAAATGTCTTATCGAATACCCGGTTCTTGGAAATTTGGAACCGGTTCTAAAATGGAACCAGTTCTCGATACCCAAACCTACTCGAAGCTTAATTTATTTTTGGATATTTGTACGGTCTACCTTGAAATGTGGTTGAAATAATGTCAGTTGTTGTTCAACGTTGATAAAACATTGAAACAATAGTTTTAAACAGTTAAAAAAGTACTATAAATAAATGTTGAAATTGTAAAAAAAAATGTTACAGTTTAATGAAACCTAAAGAAGCATTCACACTGTGACCACAAGATCGTTTTTAGATATTTTTACTTGGCCGATTTTCTACGTTAAAATGTGGTTGAAATAATGTTTAATGGTAAATTGTGTTAAATGGTTAACAAAATAATGATAAATCAAACATTAACAAAATCTGTATGAAAAATAAGACATTACGGAATTAAAAAAAAAAAAACATTACGATATCAACACAACCAGAACACAAATAATCTTTTTTTTATTGCCTTTCAGTTATAATGTGTCCTAAAGTCCTCAAAACAAGATGAATTTTGAGATATTTTTAAATGACCAACCTTCTGCATTGAAATGTGACTGAAATAATGTCAGTTAACGTCAGTTTCAATGTTGAAAAAACAACGTCTAATGCAAAATAGTTTTAAAAGGTTAACAAACTTTTCAACGTTCAAAGTCAACGTTGAAATGAAAATTTTTTCCAGCTGAATGAAACACCGTGACCTCAAGAGATCTGCGGTGACCTGATGAGGAAATCGCCGACTGTTATTAAAAACGAACGACTGTGAATCACAGTACTGAATGTGCTCATCACTGACCGACAGACTCCCAGGGGTCAGAGTTCACGGGGCAGGTGGGCGGGGCGTCCCAGGGGTCCGCGGGACCGAATATATCCACCAGATCGATCGTGGCCGACTGTGGGATGAAAGCCAGCGTCAGTCGGTCAGAAGCTCAGCACATCGTGCAGATATTGAGTGTCTCTCTCACCTCTGAAGGCCGCGGGTCTCGCTCGCCCTTACTCTCCTCCAGAACCGTCTGCAGATGAGCGTCGTCCCCCTGATGGCCGTGCTGCTCCTTCAGGAGACAAAACAAGCTCAAGCCGATGCTGTTCTTTACTGGAAGCATTCATTAGGATTAAAGGAGCAGGAGGTTAATGAGCGCCGTGACATTCACAGGAGATCCACAGAAAACACTGCAGGAGAAATACAGCTGAGGAACAGGGACATATCATCAGGGGAGGAGGAAAAATCAGTTAGTACGTGTTAAACAAAGAAGTTAGAACATGTGGAAAATACAGAAAACAAAAATAAAGAAATTCTAAAGGCCATGTTAATGGTTTAATCCAGTGGTTCCCAAGCTTTTTGCCCCAGGATGGCCAACACACTGGCTTGTTTTAAACCTTTTTATTAATAGAACCTGGGAGTATTGATATATTATGTAATATTATAGTAACCGTGATTAATTTTGTGACTTACAGAGTTTCAAGAACTGTGTTTTTCAATTAAAAACAGCAGTTATTGTGGGGGGAAAGTATTTGACTATTTTAATATATTAACAATAATTAAACAAACAGCTATTGAGGAGGAAAAATAATTATTAATTAATTAAAGAACAATAATATTATTACAGTTGTAAATAGAATTATTAAATAATATATAGCATATTAAATAAATTTCTTTAAAACTTTATAAGTTTTAATATATTATTAATAATTATTAAGAAAAAAAAAGAATTTCCCTCTTGGTTTCAAGAATTCTTTGTTATTCAATTAGAAACAACAGTTATTGAGGGGAAATTTGTTAATTATTTGTAATCATTTATTGTTTTTTATTACAATATACATTGTACTATTATAAATGGATTAAATTTCAGTTTACATTTTTTTTTTCAATGCATAGTTTGAATATTTTTGATATTTTCCAGACTCATCTTGAGGACCCTGAAACACACGGTTCCTCAGATACCTGCACAGAGACACTGGATGCACTGCTGCGTCTCCATGACAACAGCTGAAGGACACACCGAACGGCAGGCACTGATTGGCTGTTGTGGAGGGGCGTGTCAGCGCTCACATCGAGCCGAACGCTGCGGTGGATTTGGGCTAATCACGGTTATTTTCAGCAGCGATCGTGATTTCTGCACTTCCTCCACGTCCTGTGAGAACGCAAATATTCCTGAAACAGGAGGAAAGGTCAACGGGAAAACTCCTCCTGCTCGTCTTTCTCCTCGCGTTTCCTCCTCTGTGCTCACACACA